CATCAAAAACATAAAACAGCATTTTATTAAGTAAAAAGTTTTTCAAAACTCACACATTAAAGGAAAAACTTCATATAAATTAAAATAAATTAGTAATATGTTTTAGCTTTTAGAAAGTTTATACTTAATACCTTTTAATAACGAAATTGCGTTGAAAGTTTTATGAATTAATTTTGAACTTTTTTTGTTATTGTTTTCTCTGGTAATTTGATAGCAATTGGGTTTGATAGCAACTGGGTAATTTAACTTGATAGCAATTGGGTAATTTGATAGCAATTGGGTTTGATAGCAATTGGGTTTCTCTGGTAATTTGATAGCAATTGGATAGGTAAATTGATAGCAATCAGAGCTGTCCTTGGGGTGGCGCCAGCGGAGCAGCCGCTCCAGGCGTCGCGCTTAGAAAGGTCTTCTGGAGCGAGATCTTTCTAAAAGCAAACAACTAAAAGCGAGGCTTAACACTTGCCTAAAAATAAGTAAAAGGCCTTAATGTCAAAAAAAAGAAAAAGACTTGGCTAAATGAAAATAATAAATTAATAATATACGGGCATAAAATATAAACCTAATTTTATTACCCGCGCAATAAGTTCAATTATATATTAATGGATAAACATATCAACAAGATTCTCCTTTGTAAGATATATAATGCAAACAAAATAATGCAAAACATTGTTCGAAGCTAATGAAGCCCTTTATTGCAATGACATCGCATAGGTAAGACTCATTCGTTTAACGACTATAAAATGCTTATAAGAGTGAAAAAATTATTAGATTAGGTTTTAAATTTCATCTTCTATCTTGATTTTTAAAAATAAAAAAGAAGAAAATACAGAATATCAAAATTAAGGAAAAGAAGGGGAATTATTAGAAAGAATATATAATAAAAATCAAAGGTATCTTTGAGAAAGCTCAGCTTTATTATTTATTTTTTTTCATCTTTTTGAAGTTATCCATTTTATATTATGATTTATATTTAGTTAGTTTTAGTTTATACTATTAAGTAAAGATTCGTTTTTTCTTAAGTTTTTTAGTTTATGTTGAGCATATAGTTTGCTTATTATTTTTAGTTAATCATTTAGTTCTAACATTTTAGTTTTATATATAATTTTTAATGGCTGGCGGTAATTTGCAAATTAATTTTTCAGTTTATTTAAAGTGAACTCATTTATTAATTTAGTTTATACTCTCGAGTCTTTAATACAAGGAGGTGGGGTGGGGGTGGGGATAAAAAGGATGGATGGGGTATTTAGTCTAGATCTAATAAACGGGGGTTTTTATAAAAAGAAAGAATAGGGGTTGGAAAATATTTTGCTACAATATAAGTATTTATTATAAAATAGTTTTTTTTATAAATCCTAACTAATATTTTTTACAAAAGACACATAAAACTATTTAATTCTAGCGTGAAAATGGTCGAATGCGCACTTTTTAACAGCTGTATTATTATAATTTTAAAAGGATTTAATATGCTTTTACAAGTTTTATACTTTGGTGAGAAATAAACCAAAAGCTCATGTTTGACAAATCGAGATTTATTAGGTTGGCAAATTTTTTGTTTTTATCAGTGACTGAAAGAATTATTTTTTTTATTTTTAAGGCCGATACTCAATTAGTTTTTTTTTTTGTTAGCTTATAGTACGCAGTTGATAACAAGCAAAAATTAATAAACAAGGGGGTCCTAATAACTTTAGGGTGGGTGGGAAAATTTTCAAAAAATTATTAAAGGTATCCACTTCAACCCTCCTCCTTCTTTTAATAAGGACTCAAGAGTAAATTACAAACTTACGAGAAAATTGTAACTATTTGTATATCTTTGTGGTTATAGATGTTATAATTATAAATTAGTCATTGTTATGGCATTAGTGATTATGGTTTTAGTGTGTTAAAAAGATTTAAACCATGTCTAGAGAAGAAGACAAATTTAGAAACTTCAAAAGTGATTTTTAAAAACAAAAGAAAAAGAGTGAATCTTAAAGGTTTTTAAAAACGCAACAGCTCACGCTAGTAAAATTTTTAAAACCAGATGCAGCTAAACTTCAAGGTCAAGATTGGCGATCAGCTGCTGTTGAGGGTTTGAGTATGGTGGGTAAAGAAACTAAAATATTTGTTGACAATCTATTCTGAGTATAAGTAATGATAAAGAGCTAAACAATTTTTTGCTGTCTGATAATTCTGATCATCAAAACCTTTGAAGTTTTACTAGAGGTTTAGCGTTTAAAAATAAAGATTCTTCAGAAATTGGTCCTCAAAACTTTATAGTTTGTATTGAAGCTAAAGGAAGTGTTTTTGACATTAAGGATCCAGTTGTTAGGCTTGTTACGTTATAAACTGCTAAATTTGATGAAGTTATCCAAAAGGGCCTATTGCAAGTAACTAAATTTAGTTTTCCTATAAACTCAGAAAAAAGACATTTTTCGGCTAAGTATTATAAAAGGGTAATAAACAACGGAGAAAAAGTGGATAGGAAATAACTTGTTTAGAGTAAAACTAGTGACAAGGCGTTTTGTTTTCGTTGTAAATGACTTAGTAACAACACTGGATCTTAACTATCTTGCGAATGTTACAGTGATTGGCTTTATCTTGGCAGAAGACCTGAATCTCATAATTTACTAAAGCACGTTGAGGACGTTAAGAAATGAAAGGAATGTGAAATGCGTTGAAACAAAGCTTTAACAATTGATACAAAGCACAGGGAACTGATAAATTATGAAAAAAGCTTTGGCGTGAGGTTCTGAATAGAATTGTTAATGTTATTAAATATTTAGCAGAACACAACATTGCATTTAGATGATCAAACAGAAAAATTTACAAGAGAAACAACGACACTTTTTTGAGAACTGATTGAAGTGTTGGCTACGCTCAACCCCGTCACTCAAGAGCATGTTAGGCAAATTTAATTGTCTAAAATTCATGATCACTATCTAGGGTCAAACATTCAAAACTAATTAATAAAGCTGCTGTCTGAAAAGGTAAAATCAAAAAATTTCGCGGATATAAAAGTAGCTAAGTATTTTTCAGTAATGCTTGACTTCACACCCGATCTAAATCAAAAGGAGCAGTTATACATGATCATACAATTTGTAAAAATTGATATAAATACAAGTTCTCTTGAGTGTGAAAACGAACGTGCAAGCATCGAAGAACATTTCCTTGGATTCTTATACGTTAAATCAACAACAAGAAAAATCTAACTGATGTTCTTCTATAAGAGTTAGATGAAATTGGATTGAAAATCAGGGACTGCAGGGAAGAAGGGTATGACAACGGAGTCAATATGAAAGGTATCCACTTTAGAATACAGGCATGAATCTTAGAAATACATCCAAAGGCATTTTACATGCCCTGTGCTAACCGTAGCCTCAACCGCCTAATATGTGACGCTGCAAAATATTCACCTAAATGTATGACACTGTTTGGTGTTGTATAAAGAATTTATACACCTTTTTCTTCGCCAATAATACGATGGGAAATTTTCTTGAAACATGTACCAAATTTAACTGTAAAAGGGTCCTATGACAATCCTTGGGAAAGTGCGGCCGTGGCGCAGTGGTTAGAGCGCTTGCATTGTAAGCATGAGATCCAGGTTTTGGCATACTTTGCGTCACAGTAAGGAGGGAAGCGTGAACTTTCTGGGTAAATGCTTTTATGCGGCGCTCTGTGACAAGACCGTTAGGTTTTGTTAGGGCACTTAAACAATAATAATAATAATAATAATAATAATAGTAATAATAATAATAATAATAGCAATAATAATAATAATAATAACAATAATAGCAATAATAGCAATAATAATAATAGCAATAATAGCAATAATAACAATAATAATGATAATAATAAAAATGTAAACTGAAAAGCCTAAAAGCGCCTTGATATCAAGTAAAGGAAGTTCATGCTGCATTAGTTGAATTAGTTAAGTTCACTTAGGATCCAAAAGCTAATAGTGAAACACGCATCAGTTATGAATGAAATTAGTAGTCATGATTTTTTACTAGCCCTATGTATTTGGTATGATGTACTGTTTGCAGTAAACAGAGATAGCAAAAGCCAACAGGCTGAAAAAATGCACCTTGGTGTTGCGTCGCAGTTATTTCAAGGGCTAGTACAGTTTTTTCAGAAATTTAGAGTTGGAGGTTTTGTGGTGGCAACGTGGGTAGAAAGAGAACTTAGTGAAATTATGGGTGTAGAGCTAAATTTTAAGGAAGTCAGGCAGAGAAAGAAAAAATGAATGTTTGAGTACGAGGTAGAAGATGATCTTACGGTAGAATCCGCCAAGCAAACATTTAAAGTGGAGAATTTTTTTGTTATTGCATATACTACAGCACAGTTATTGAAAAGAAGGTTTGAAAAAAATAACTACTTACGGTACTATGTTTAAATTTTTGGAAAAATATTTAAAACTGATATAAGTGAAATGTAAAAAATTAAAAGGCAAGTCATTAGTTGTTGTGCTATTAAGTTTTTATTAGTGTCTAGCATAAATGTGATGTATAGATAGAATTGGTAATGGAGTAGAATTATTCGTTTTATAAGTAGTCACCATGTGGTTTGTATTATTGGGGTGATAAACATACAATATAGACATAAGTGTCATGAACGTCTCAAGTACAGTATGGATTTGTGCCTTATGGTGCAGTATGATCATATGAAGACCTCCAGCTTTCATCCGAGACTGGTATCCCAAAAGAAACTCCACTCTGGGTCTACACTTTGGCTCACACACACTTACTTTAAATGAAGCAAAAGAAAGACAGGCATTATAATTTCAAATTTATTTTAAAAAACTCAGAAAGCATTTTTATCTACATACTTTTTTTAAAATAAATCTTGAAAATCTTGTGGAAATAGTGAAGGTTGCGACAAAGCAACGTTTCCATTATGGCAACATAAAAATGTGTTTCATCAGGAAATTTATTAGCACTACAATGCTGACAAATATATTTCATTACTCCTAAATATTTATAATCTGGAATAGTATTACTTTTTGCCTTACAATGCATTCTTTC